TAGCCAAGGAATATAAAAATCCTTTCAGTGTAAAATCCCATAAGAATAGCTAAATGACTTCTGAGACAAAAAAACCCCCAAAGAAAAGGCGGTAGGGTGCACAAAAGGCACACCTACAAGGGTAGGCAGGGATTAAAGTATATTGCAACTCCAACTCCAGACTGGTGACCGTGAACACCAGAAGGATAAATAAAAACCCCATCCACTTTAACACCCAGAGGTGGCTCTAGAGCCTGACAGAGGAACTCTGCAGGACATGCCTAACCTTGATCCAGAACATGGTTGTAAGGATGTTCTGACCTGCCATGATCCAGAAAATAATCTGAAGCCATGGATTGAGGGGCAGGAACCTTAGCCAAACTGTTAAGAACATTCACCTGATTAAGGACAAGGGGCTGTGGATCAGCCATGGAAGGAAGACTTATCTCCAGATAATCTGGTTCCACAAAGGCCTTCAGATGTTCTCTATCCCCAAAAGCAGGTACTTGCAGCAGGGTCTAAACAGGGTTCTGCCTTCTGACAAACCAGTGGAGCACAGAACCATCAGACACTGATTATTTTCTTGCATGCATAAGAAAAGGAGCACCAAGGTGTGCAAATCTCACTCTTCAGTCTAGGTACTACCAGTTGTGAAGAGTCAGACGGCAATGCATTGTCTCTTAGGTAGACACTGCAGTCAAGAGTATTACTCACATGGTCATCAAGCATAGGTACCAGACCACTTGTCTGTGCAGAACTCCCAACCCTTCCTGGAGGTTAATGGCCCACAACACCTAAGTGATGTCCAATGGAGTTCAGGTCAGTAAGCTGACTCACAGAGGGATCCCTTGACAAATGTGGGACTGTTCTGTGTAGCCAGACTTAAGCCCCAAGTAAGGAGACACCCAAAAGCCCCCCCCCCCCAAAGCAAGGGGAAAAGACCACCCCATACACCTTAAAAGGCTGATGGGTGACACCAGGGTTTTTAGAGACCATCTAAATGTCTCTCCCTGAGTCCAGGCTCCCAGATATGATGGACAACAAGAGAAGGGGAAACTATGTTTAGAGGATATTCCATGAAAACCCTAAAAGCCCCTTTATGGGAAGGAGAGGGAATTTTCTTGACAGTTAGGGAGGATCCAATGACTCATGGGGATTAGACTTCTTTAGCGAGGGTTTGAACTGAACAGCCTTGCCCATTGGTGACTGATAGTTACCAACACTAGGCATCAGTGCTGTCAGAACCCTTCATAAGGGTTCTGACTGCAAGAGTCCAAAAAAATTATCCTCTTCAGGTAAAGTCATCTGTTTCTCAATAGGGATGCCAGGAAAAGGCACTAAGACTAACATAGGGTCCAGTGCCTGTAAAAAAAAACTGTAGGTGCCTACAAAGTTCACTGCTGTTGAGGGGGACCACATACCATACGGGGTTCAACAGTATCAGAATATGTAGAATTCTCCTAAAGAAGGGAGTGTAAGTCAGGTACAACTCCTGAAGCCAAGTTTCACCTTATGAGAAGACAAGGGTCCCAGGTGTGTATGTACAGTAGCACCAGAAATGAGGGGCAGTGTGAAGAGATGCCAGACACGAAGGGTTAGCCTGTGGATTAAAGGGATGACCTCAACACCTACATACCAGGGATGGAAACTTTGAGGCTGTGGGCTAAATGGGAGCTTTTGAAGTAGATGAAGACGAAGGTGAGATTTCAATGACATATAATCAGTGTTCCATCCACATAGCCAGAGTACCCTTCGCATATATACAGACATAATTTTCAGATGTCAGACATAAGCTTAGATGCTTTCAGCAAGCAATCACAACTAAAACACAAGGCTCCAGACATTTGCTCCAGCCTACCCCAGAGATGGAGTACTGTATTCCTTTAAAAAGGAATGTACCCATTCTGGCACATTTTGGGTCCATACTATCAATTCAAACTGGGATTTAAGCAGCTACTCTAGATAACTGTCAGTGGCACTCTCAACCAGCTTGGTGGTCATCCTGTTAAGGTAGGTCACTGATGTATCTTTGGTGTGAACAGACCAGCATATTAAAAATTCCCTTTCAAAAGGGAAAAGTTCTGACACACTCTCAGGTAAGGTCCAGAACCCTTCATGAAATTTCCAGTCTGCATAGAGGAATGAGCCAAATAACAGGTGTAGTGGAAAGATCTTTGCAGCCATAGGATTATTAAAGACCTAAAGCCTGGAACAGCAGGTTGATCCTCCAGATGCAGGATAATATGCACTGCGCCAATATTGTTTAAAACAACCCTCTAAGTCAGTGGCAGGAGACTGTGGTACCTCAAAACAGTCTTTTCCGAGATGGGTCATGGGTCACGGGTCACAGGGCTCAGAAAGGTCAGAGACAGAGTGTGCATTGGATGGTGCTGGGGCATGCTTAGAGCTTCTGCAGGTAGAATGCTCCAGTAGCTGAGCACAAATAGTTAAGAAGTCCTGAGTGGATGTGGAGGTCTCTGGGGAGATGGGGGAGGCCTTGGCCTTACCTAACAGAACTGAGGAAGACTTTGATAATATTAGGTCTCTGGTTCCTGATTACAGTTGTTAGGTTCTTCTGGGGATGCGTATTAAATGCCCCCAGAACCAGTATGAGCAGTGGGTACTAACTAGAGTGAAGAAACTTGATTGAAGTAATTTAAGAAAAAAATCCACAAAACAAAAAAGGATAGCAAAAAATAGTTTGACTTTCTTAAGCAGAGCTGAAGAAAGGCAGTCCAACCTCCTAGAATACTGGTAATGCTGGATAGAGGAGGGGTTATACAGAGGTTAGCAATTGCTTCTGTTTGCCAGTGTCCCAAAACTCCTGTAGGCAGCAGTATAACCCAACTGTTTCTTAAAGCGGACCCTTACCCCCCTTTGACTAAAAATCACATCAGTATGCAGCTCTGTATGCTGATATGAAATCATTGTACATTCATTAGCTAAACAAACATGTTTTTATTTTACTTACAATTACTTTTTTTCTACTTCCTGGTCCACTTGGGCACAAATAATGTAATCGTGCCCATGCATTGCATCCTGGGAAGGTTACATCAGCAGAGCATTACTGGGAAATCTCATCTGTAATCTCATGAGATCTCAGAGAAAAGGCATTTTCCTCCCCTAGCATGATGTGCATAGGCACATGTCCTAGTCACATGTGCCAGAGTTCCAGGAAGTAAAGGGAGATCTAGTAACCTGCCCTTAGTTAAAATGGCCACTGTCAGAAGACTGTGGTAGAAAAGGAAATAAGGTATGCAAAAAAATTGCAATTTTCTAGAAGTATGTGTCTGTAGATTGTCATTACTAAACATTTCTAAAAGAGTCTTTGTTGTTATTTTGAAGATATGGGTAAAGTTCCTCTTTAACTCCTGTGTCCTGCAATAGATGAGAAAGCAGGTTTTATTGCTTGCTATGCTGTTCCTCCTTTGAAATGAGACTTTGATATATAGGGCACATGGGGACAGTCATGGTTGTTAACTGAAGTATTAATATATAAAGCTTTTCAATCTGTGGCAGAACAATCTCCAGAGCAATCAATGCAGGGCTTGGCAACAAAAAGCGTTCCTGTGTCAAATTTGTTCCTTTGACAGCACTGCTTGGGATTTCAGTGTAGCAGAGGCAGCACTATCAGATCACTAGCACATATTAGGAGCTCACTGGATATCTGGCTTGATCAACAGATATTTTCTGTAACGGCAACATTTAAAAAAAAAAAGCAAAACATGGGGGTACAGATGTGAATCAAAAGTGAAAGAAACTGCACCACCACCCAATCCTTTTCACTTCTCCTCAATAAGCTTTATTTCACACAGGGCAGTGTATCACAAACAACACTGTCCTTCACACTCTGTTCCTCTATCAGTAATGCGTTTCACCCCAGGAGGGGCCTAATCATGGAGGTGGTTGCAACCGCAGAAATGTGAGGATTTTCTTTTACTTTAACTATATACACTTTAACTGCATTTCTTTATCTAACATTTTTGATCAAAACATTCAGTTCACATACCAAAATATAGGAGTGCGGTAGCATCACATTATCTCTACCTGAATTGGCTTTTATATACAAAACATTAAAACAAATATATAAAAACAGCATATGCATGTCATAAATTCAGCTGATGCATAGGATGACCTGAAACACCATTTTAGATCATAAATAAATGGCAAAAAAACACACAGTGATTAAAGAGTAGACATGTGCGATTCGTTTTGTTTCCGAATCAAAATTCGTACAAATTTTCTGAAATTTGGACATTCGGATACATCCGAATTCTCGAATCCCAATGCATCTGAATGTGTCCGAATCCGAATTTCCATTTCCGATCGCGTCCGAATTTCGTTAAAAAACTAAATTGACATCGGACATGTGACTTTTCTGGCCAATAATATGTATTTTTCTGTTTAATGCATCCGAATGAGTCTGAATCCGAATTCTGGGAGCCTCAGCTTTAGTTTTATGCACATATGGCTCCCAATGTTGCCGCAACGATTATTCGTTCGTACTACAGAATACTAACTATATATACATAATACTAAAGCTGATGTTCCAAAACAAATGGAGTCCGACTTTCCGAATAGCATTTGGGAGCTCCCGAATGCCATTCGGGTCTGGAAGCCTCAGCTTATATATTATGTATGTATATGGCTCCCTGACCCATATTGCTTTCTGGAGCTCCCGAATGCTACTTGGAAATTAAGACTCCAGAATGCCATTCAGGTCTAGAAGCTTCAGCTTCAGTATTAATATCTGTATATGGTTCGTAAACTTATCCGTAACTAACGAAAATTCGGATTTTGTCCGAAGCCGAAACCCTGAACCAAATTGAATTTAGGACCCGAATCCTGATATAATGAAAAATCCGAACCGAGCCGAATTCTTCCGCAGCTTACATGTCTATTAAATAGTGCCTGGGTTAGGTCTTTTGTGAACCTGTAGGGTTATTCATTGGTTGACCTTTTATATCTAACAATGTAGATTTCAGGTATACATAAACCAAAGATGTCTTAGCTTCTATTACCTCTATTTCTTGGTAGGAGCTGTTAATCATGGCAATCAACATATTGAGAAGAACCACCACCATTGTTACGTTGTAGATTCCATAAAGTACATAACCAATATTCTCAATAAACTTATGGTCATACTTCAGAACTACAGATGTTACTTCAGACAAGCCAAATATGGACCAGAACAGGGTTTTAAAACTTTCTTCAACACTTTAAAGACAAATAGAAAGATAATGAAGTCAGTTTTGTTAAGATGTTACATAGTTAATAAACTGCAGTATCATTTTCAAATCCCCTACATATGGAGATGCCACTTGAAGTGACACTTGCTATTCCATCTAATAGTACCTGCACATAGGTTGTAAGCTCTTTTTTATTGCTTCCTCTCTCTCAGGTCACAAAACTCTAACAATCCCTCTGTTGCAGCTGTGAAAAAAATCAACTTTACCTCATTTCACTTTCACTTTTTTCGTCCTTCCTGTACCCATAATTAATTTTTCTTCTTGACTGACTTTAGCCAATAGAAAATACATAATTTCAGCCAAAATAAAGGATTGCTAATGCCATTGTATCCAGGAAGCCTGGACACAGACGTTTGAAGGTGAAGTCTAATTAAAACTTTATTCAGAGCCCAATAGAGGGTGGGGGGACACACCTCATCTAAATCATTCCGCTGTGTGTGTAATTTAAACTTCAACTGTTCATCTCTGTAAACAACAGGTGTTTTCAGCAAAGTGGAACATCCCATCTGAAGGTCATGATAGATATTTGAAAAGGAGCCTAAAGTTCTACTTGCTGGCCGGAAAAATTAAATAAATATTTATCTGTAATATTGTATACTTCAAATAAAAAATGAAGGGGAGACATGAGGGAGGTTGTGTAGATATATGAATATGAACCTGATCCAATCTAAAATGTTTCTAGGGCAACAACATCACTTATGTGCAGGCAGTTTCTATTGCTTGCAAATACCTGTATTAGTCTTCAAATCAATCCTAGTCCCAGACTGTATATGGGGACCCAACTTCTGCCCAATTTGATATTAAGCCCGGTGCAGACCCTATCATGGTAATGTTACATTCCAATGCCTCTACCACCCACTGCAGATCTAGCATTTTAAATTTTACTATAAGGTGGTGCAACTTAGTTTCAGGAGGGTTTAGAGGAGAACTTTACCTTTGGTACAAGTTGTGCTTTAAGTCATGGCCCCGCCCCATCAGTGCAACCCATATCTCTAGCCTTATTCAATTAGTCTTTGGTGTGAAGCCCTGCTTGGAGCTTTACTGCTTTTTTTCAGGGAGCTTCTTCGTTGGGGCTTTTTCATTCCACAAATATGTAGTATGGCCCCCTTCATTCCTATGAGAAGAGTTTTACTCACCAGGACTGCTGGAAACTTCCATAAGTACAGCTCCCCACAGAAATTAATGGGACCATGGTGCACATGCATATAATGAAGTGGACTCAATAAGGATGCTTTCTGAAGAAAGGCTGGGCGGCTCCTGGTAGAAAACCGCTGGAACAGTTCTACAGAGTGATACCATTGTCTGTTATTGTTCACATACAGCCTGGGCCCGGGATCCAAAGGGGCTCCACAGGGGCACAGGAATGATTTTAAGACAAACACAGGTACTTAAAGGCAGCTCAAGGTGCCTGAACTTTGGCACTCTTGTTTTAGAAATGTTTAGGGCCAAGGCTGGTTCACTTCAAGGTCAGCAAACAAAGTACTGTCAGTACAATTTTCAAGCAAGGTTTGTTAGTGTTGCCCAAGTGAACACCTTTCAAACAATTATGTAACGGCATTAGGAACATAAGTATTGTGTTTGTCCCTGTAACAGAGAATAATTACATTTATACTGACTCATACCCATACTCCGTAATTCAGTTTGGATATGCTTACTTTTTTCCTATATGTTCAATAGACATAGTAGTTGTTATGGTGATAACAACTGATAACTTCAGTCTATGTATGGAAATAGTAGAAACTGTAACATAGGAGCACAATAATGGATCTGGATCATTTATCTTTGCCTCTGTGCCATTTACTTCCATTTCCACAAAAGCCAAAGCGCAAGACATTTTACTTTGATTTAATGACTCATTGTTGGGATAATTCAATTTCTGTTCTCATTTAAAGATGGGGTACATGCCAGTATAAAAGATCAGCATTTAATTCAGTTACGTGTTCATTAAAAAATCATCACATTTATTTTAACCATTTGCAGTTCAAGGACAGTTAAAAACCACAGACTGTGCATATTATGTCCTACAATGCCACCCACCTATACATTTATTTAAGTGTGAGTTTGGCAGCTGAGGACCCCAAGTGTAGAAGCCAGTGACACTGTTAAATGATTGGTTTAACAGTGTGTTACAACAAGCATTAATATATAAAATGTAACCATTTGTTTTTTAAAAATGCAGTTATTTAAAATAAATTATCGTACTTCCTATTCAAGCCTTAATTACCTATACTTAAAGTAACACTAAACTCTGGAGTTACATCTTAAAATGCCTTTTAAATACCCTATTAACAAACATGTATCTTATTTGTGCATCACTCAGCTGTAGATCCTCAAATCATCTCTGAATTGGTGCTGACACTGTCCTTCCTTCTGGAGGATGGCTACTTTTGTTCCCCATGGTCCCTGTTATGGATGCACCGATACCGATACTAGTATCGCTGCTGATACCGAGTACTTGGGTGAGTACTCGTACTCGCACAAATGCTCAGATACCTTCCCTGATACCGGAACTTCCTGTCAGAGGAAGATTGCCTCTGACCGGCAGTGCCGTAGGTCAACATGGAGGCAGTTTTCCGTGTGATCAGAAAGCTGGGCAGCGAGAAATGATCCGCCTTCCAGCTTCCTGATTGGCTGTTTGGCTGGCTCCATGCTGACTGGCCGGGAATCTGGCTTCCCGGCCAATCAGCATCGAGCAGGCCGAAGAGCCGGCTCTTTGCTGCTTGGCTGGGAAGCCGTCTTTCCAGCCAATCAGCATGGAGTCGGCTTTCCGCCCAATCAGGAAGTCGGGAGGCAGCTCACTACTCGCTGCCTGGCTTCCTGATTGGCCGGGAAGTCGGCTCGATGCTGATTGGTTGGGAAGTCGGTTTCCCAGCCAATCACAATCAAGCCGGGCAAACAACATGGAGCCGGCTTCCTGGGCAATCAGGAAGTCGGGCGGCATGTCATTACCCACCGCCCGGCTTCCTGATAGCCCATGAAAGCCTCCTCCATGCCAGCGGAAGCATCGGTATCGGTACTCGGTACTCGGTATCGGCCAGTACTGAAAGCAAAGTATTGGTACTCCAACTTGATACAGAGAAAACGGTATCGGTGCATCCCTAGTCCCTATGTGTGTGTTGTAAAGTAGTCACCGCTCCAAGCTCGCTCCTGGGATGGACTACAATCTCACGTTTAGTTAACTAATTTGTATTGAGATTGTAGTCCATCATGGGAGTGAGCTTGGAGCGGTGACTACTTTACAACATACACAGAGACCATGGGGAACAAAAGTAGCCACCTTCCAGAAGGAAGGACAGTGCCCCCACCAATTCAGAAGTGATTTGATGATCTACACAAATAAGAGACATTTTTGTTAATAGTTAAGGTACTTGAATGTTTTTAACTCCTGAGTTTGGTGTCACTTTAAGTATAAATGGCCCTAATTTTAACTCACACATTCCTCTCCTTAGCAATTATTTTGGTACCATTTAGAAGCAAATGTTTTTATGTTTTCATTTGTGAATAAGTTTACTATAATTTGCACCATACAAATCATGTTACTTTGTGATGAAGGAAACAAATTCTAACATAAATATACTTTGCATCTACAATAACACTTGCAAAAAAACCCCTGCGTTTTATATTTTTTTAACTTGCCTTCAAAATAGAAAATGACATATTTTTGACGGTAATACCACCAAAGGAAAATATTGTTAATTGTTTCCAAATAAACCCTTATATTACCACAATATCATAAATAATGACAAAGTTATTGCCAAATCAATAGCTCATTTCTGAAATATAAAAATTGCTTTGTCAATACAATGAGAAAAGGTTGGCCTTTTATTAAAGTATATGTAAACCCAATTACTATCATGTTATATAAACTTGTTGTCATTTTAAATGTAATTTTGAAAACCTTTAAATCTGCCACTTTCATTAAAATGGTAATGGGTGATTCTGCAATAAAGGTCCTTGTTCACATGTTTCCAGTTATAGTGTGACAACACTCTGTCCCTCCCAATTGTGCTCCTATTTTGTCACCCTAACACGCTTTCCCAATGGAGGCAACAAGTGACTATTTCGACACACATTATGCAGCAGCACAGTAAACTCATGTCACTATCAGAAAACACTCCCTGGGAGATGCCAAAAAGCGATTGCTGGACTGCATGCATATAGACAGGAAGTGGCTTCAAAGAGACAGCAAATTATCAGCAACGCAAATGAGATGCAACATAGGATGAAAAAATATGAAAACAAATATTGTATGGGAAAACTAAACGGCAGTTGCTTATGATGTGCACTGCTTTAGCAAACTAAATGCCATTCAGTTAGGGTTTACATCTACTTTAAAGGAGAACTATTGGGAGAGTAAAATGTACGGTTTCCAACAGTTTGAGCCGACATGTGACACTGCACAGCACTTATTGGAGGAACAGACAGGGGAGGAGGCAGGTACAGCTGGCTCTGACTCCAGAGAGGCAGAGACAACTGACAATCCGGCAGTGGAGTGGGACATTTCCTTGCTGCAGGGCGGCCCTGTGCTGTCAGCGTATAGCGGGCAGTGGGGCCCACTAGATGCTGGCTTTTGGTCACAGGGGTACATTAGTAAATGTACTCCTCTGACCCAAAAGAGAACTATAGCCAAAAAAAAGTTAGGCTATAGTTCCCTTTAATTTGACAATCAGCAAATGTCTCTATTTGAATATAACATATCAATAGAAAAATATCATATTTTTAAAACACATGGGAATTAGTTACTTACGTTGTGAAGGCAGAATTCACTTTTGCTCCCAGGTAATAGGAATACAGGATAAACATCCCAATCATGAAGGCAAGAAACACCATGATAAAAAGGACCATAAATTTAAATATGTCCTTCACCGTCCTGCCGAGTGATATCTGCAGTGGCCCAAAGCTTTCATTGGCTGGCAGGATGTATGCTATGCGGGAGAAGCTCAACACAACCGCTATAGCATATAGACCTTCAGATATGATCTGTGGATCAGACGGCAGCCATTTATCTCTGGCTGAAAGAAAGCAAATACATGGTAAATAACTTTAATACATTATATAGAGGACCAAGTCGATTAATTTCTTTGGAAATAAACCAGGAGCTACATCAAATTAGTCTTCTAGTTTACGTTCTGAAAATATACTAGATCGGCAAGTGTTGGATTTCTTGAATACTGGAATCTTATGATATGCCTGTTAATATTAAACATCATATACAACACATTAATACTGTATATTGCCTTTATTTATCTTTTTTATATTTTAGTAAACATTGCAATAAATACATTTTGCTGTTTTTACCTTTCCAATAGCAGATAAAAGGCAATAAAAAATCAGTTAAGGAAATGTGGAACATTTCCAAAGACCAGCATGTTCCTATCTTAACCATTCTGACATACCCATCACTAGTTCATAAATATGTCACATTATGAATCTACAGTTTTCTTCTGCCCTCTACTTCTTATTTTAAGTTTTTCTGCGTCAGCTGTTTCTGAGGTTCTCAAACCAAAGCACAACTGTTTGAGGTAGCAGATGTTACGGAAAATATATTTCTGTGTCCGTATTCTTTATTCATTTTACGAATAATAAATATATATTTAAAAAATAGAGCATAGATAGGCACAATTGGAAACTGTACAAACACCAACAGCAAAGGTAATATCAAGTGCATATGAAGAAACACATATGTAAAGAACATATGATATTTACAGGGATGTAAATAGGTCATGACACATCAGTCAAGTGATAATAGGAATAATCCATTTCCAGGGTAGCAGGGATAGTTTGATTTTTCCAGGTGGGGTATCTAAAGCCATTATACAATTAGGATCCACAGTGCCTAGAACAAACCAAAATGTCTTAAAGGAAAACTGAGTAAGAAATAGAGAGAGGTAGAATAGAAGAGGTAGAGAGGGAAATGTGGGTTAGGTAATGAAGGGAAAGAGAGACAGGGTAAGGATGCCCGAGGTTAGCCATGCACCAGGGACAGGATATTTAAAGGAAATCTGTAAAGAGCAATGCCTAGGCTGCCATTGCTGACTTCTTCCAAATTTGTTGGTTGCCAGGCATTTATACTGATCCACTGGTAACTTTGAGTCAGATACAGGTCTGTAGTTCAGGATGTACTGAAGCCATAGAATATGCATAACAGCCAGGCATCTTGCATTTCAGAAAGGAGAGGCCAGCAATGATAATGACAGCCCTCTAACTCAAACCAAACACTAAAACTGAAAATTTTGTTGTACATGTTCAAGTTGTACAAGTTTATTTTTTTAATATGTGCTGCTTTCAATTAAATTATACCAGCAAGTTGTTATCACAGACAATTCCATTTCAAGGGTGACAACGCTTACTCTTTTCAGCTGCAGCGTTGTCACCCTTTCTTCTGCACTTCTGAGCTGGACTACAAGCAGCTGTCCCAATGCACATTAAACTGCCACATTTTGCTGTAGTCACCACAATAAAACTGTTATGTTCAGCTGCCGCAGGAGAGAGCACAGACATCTATAGGGAGATTATAGGATGCCCAGAAAGAAAAAAAAGTGCAGACTAAGGGGACAATTATTTAAAAAAAAAATGCAATCCTATTTTACAACACAAGTATTATTTTGTTAAAGTTTAATTCTACTATCAACCAAAAATAGAATGTAAAACACATCTGAAATGGAAAGCAGTATCTGGTCTCCACAAAATAAAACACAGAGCAATATTATCGTGTAGGAGCAGGCAGAGGTGCTCTACATACTTTAGATTTGGTGGTGACTTTGGGAGCACCCTTAACACGAAATACGTGATGCATACAAATACCACTTTAAAGAAGAACTGAAAGAAGAATTTGAAAAATTAACCCTTGCACAGAGGCGTAACTGGAAACCTCAGGGCCCCGGTGCAAGAAACCATAAAGGGTCCCCCCAAGTTCCAGCCCGTTTTGGTGCTGGAACGCACTGGATCGCATCCTGGGTGGCTCACTGCGTTCTGGGGTGGGAGGGGGCGGTGCATTAAAGTCAATGGCACAGCAGGCACGCCGCCCGGTTGCAGTGCGATTGCTTGCACCAGAACACATGGCAAATCAATGCCTGCTTTCCGGTGCAAATCGAGTTCCCTGACTGGCCAAACCCCCGCTACAGTGTCTTCACCATCCCTCTGTCTGAATTGCAGTCCGCAAGTGTCCAAAACACCAGGGGCAGCATGAGGCAGCTGCGGGTGGCGGACCCTCTTCTTCCTCTCTGGGCTCCCCCCCAACTGGCTGAACACAAATGGGACCACTGTAACCCTTGTAATTTCGCCTGCGATTAGTATTGGGGCATTTTCACGGTTACTCATGAAAATGGCCAGTATTGGCACTGGTGCATCCCTAATTAATAATATAATGTATTGCTGGGACTTGTAGTCCTGCATAGTTGGTGCTATTCTGCAGTGCTGTATAATAATTATACAGCAATGCAAAATAGCACCAGCTATGCAGGACTACAAGTCCCATCAATACATTCTATTGTAAATAATAAATATAGCTTCTCCCCCCGCTTGCGCACCCCCTTTCCCCTTGAACCCACTGGAAAGACAATGGTATACATTTTGCACAGAGGAAAATAAACATTACTGAGCCAACAGTTCAAGGAATCCACTCACAATGGGGTCCTTCCATTAATTTCACTTTATTTCAAAAGGCATAAAAACAGCCAACAGCAGACAGCTTACTGGTTTCAGCCCCTTAGTCGTAGCTACGACTAAACTTGGCAGAAACTTGGAAGCCTGTCAGCCTTATCATGTAAATTAACAGCAGAGTCTTCAGAGTCTGTGTTGTGAACTTTGAGGATGAAATACTTCACGTTACCTGCAACTACAGAGGTCAGTTAGGGCTTATTTTAAAGCATTTTTACTGCTTGTTAAAGACGTTCTAAATTTACAGCAGGTACTATCCTCTTATAACATCACAATTATAATAGGAATACATACTATAGTTGTTTTCGATAATGCAGTCAAAGCTTACTTGACAAAAAATCTCTTTTATATAGTGAGCGCTGCCTTCTGCCTGCTCATCACTTACAACAACTTCCTGGGCTTCCAATGTGCTTTGCATCTTTTTTCCTGCTGCTTAATGTCATGCAATCTTGATTTCTTACGACTTGATAGCACATTGCGCATTGCTTCCAGCAAGAAATGATAATGTTACATAGATCAGATGTTGAGTTGTAGTTCATAAGGACATAAGGAAGTGCATATTCACAGGGCTGAGTGAAATTGTGTCAGTGCATTGAGGAAGTAAATCTTCAATAAGTTGACAAACTTCTAGATTGATATGGTTATTAGGAGTAGGATAGAAATTCAATATAGCAATGCATATTTATTTTTAGTTATTGGCCATTCTCTTTTAGGATAGGTAAATTCAATATTACCCATAGACTGGGCACAGGTGCTTGTAATACCGTTTTAATATTTACCATGTTTTGCAAAGTGCATTGCGTCCTTAGGAAGAATACACTCTAAAATCCTATTGGTATTATTCTATAAGTGTTTTTTCCTCAGAGGAAGTGTTATCGGTTTTCTATAACCACATTGCTTTACTTGATGTGGCTAGTTTAGAAGCAAATACAGCTTAGCGACTTTATTCTTAAACAAAAACATTTCTTTAAAGAGCTGCAATTAAAATCTGCTCACTGTTTCTTAGAACAAATTATGCTTACCCTGAAATGTTTGCAGCTTAATTTTTATAGAATATTTAGTTTATAGGGATATTGTCCCACTCCTGCTTTAATTTGCATAATTGGGACTTGCATATTTAGTTTTTTTACACGTGAGGCAAGTAGAAAATGATTATGGGAAAACTGCTTCACAGCTACAATAAAGTTGTATCTGTGCATACTGCTATGTACCTGGACACTGCAGATAAGTATTCTGCACTCTGCATGTGAATGCCCAATTTTGTAATACTTTGTAACATACAGACACTGACAGACTCATGATGAATTAGTCAATTATTGTATGCCCAAGTGCTCTTATTTGTGTAATCAATTAAACTACCAAAAACATATTATTTTGTAGGCTTAAAGGGACATTTACCTTTGCATATACCATATCTCAACACATGGCTCACTGTCATATGGTACCACAAAGCAACAGAGTGAACCTAGACGTACATCACAACAAAAGCACCTAGAGTGGTCTGGGATGGCTGGTTTAAAAGCACATTTACTGCTCGTTATCTATATGTAAATAGGTTCATATCTATAGTCTGGAAACAGGTTCACTTTATATCACCTTTTGTATTCCTGTACGCACAGTATGTCATGTAAATCATCCATCTTAAGAACCAGGTGCTATATAGTAGAAAAAGTGGCCCTTTCAGCGTGTTGTCCACCCCATCCAGCTTTTCTAACCCTCTTATTGGCTGTGTGTAGTGTGTGTAGACACCAGACTGCACATTCAGCAAGCTTTTTTCCAGAAAGCACAAAACCAGTTAAACCCATGTATAGGAGCTTGTATGTCATGCACATTGTATTTATCTTTTCTTAGTTTAGTGCCTGACCCTATTAGGCCCTATTCACATTTCCATACACACATAAACACATGATCGTGCGCTCATTTACACAGCACAAAACACATCATGCTTGCGGTACCATTCATTGTTAAAGGAGAACTATGAGGTGAGTGCTTTTCACTCACCTCATAGTTCTAGCCGACCTGTGACAATGAGACTGTCACAGGTCGGCTCAGTAGATCGGGAGGTGAGCGAACACATACCGGGTTCGCTCGCCTCTCGATCCTGTCACGGCTTTCTGCCGTGACAGGGGGAGGGGCTGGATTCCCCTCTCCCCGCTCCGATCTGCCAGCGCTGACTGGCGGAACGGACAGGGGAGGGGGCGGGAACAGCTGGCTCTGCCTCTAGATAGGCAGAGCCAGCTGTCACTCACGCAGCTGGGCGGATCCCGTCATCTACGTCGGGATCCGCTCCGGCTGCTGCGTCTCAGTATACCGCGAGCTGTATCTTGCGGTATACTGAGCTTAGGGTAACGGG